GCGCGCGTGCCCGTGCTCACGTGGTACAACCGGGCGTCGGGCGCGCCGATCTGCCGGAGTAGCCAGCCCCACGCGGGCTTGACGGACAAGGTCATGGCCGAGGACGAGGCGAGCCTGATGCATCTCCGGGCGGCGACGTCGCGGACGAACGCCGGGCGCCTCTTGGCCGACTCCTTCGACGACGACGGCCGCGGCGCGCCCGCCACGCCGGGCAAGGACGACGGCGACAGCGACGACGACGTCGTCGAGATCTCCGCCGTGTCGCCCAAGGCCCGCGGGACGGGCGCGCCGGTCCTGCGCATCGTCGACTGCCGGCCCGTGCTCAACGCCAAGGCGAACGCGGCCATGGGCAAGGGCCACGAGGTCATGAGCCGCCTCGGGGGCAAGGAGTCCGCGACGCTCGAGTTCCTGGACATCGCGAACATCCACGGCATGCAGGAGTCGTTCCGCGTGCTGCGCGAGGCGCTGGGGGCGCCCGACGAGGGCGACGGCGTCTACCGCGCGGTCCACGACTCGCGCTGGCTCAATCACGTGTCCCTCCTGCTCCGAGGCGCCGTCGCGGTCGCGGACCACTCCGCGGGCGGCGACCCGGTCCTCGTGCACTGCTCCGACGGCTGGGACCGGACGGCGCAGGTCTGCGGGCTCGCCCAGTTCCTGCTGGATCCGTATTGTCGGACCATCGACGGCTTCGGGGTGCTGGTGGAGAAGGACTGGTGCGCGTTCGGCCACATGTTCCGGGAGCGGGGGGGGTTCGGTAGCGATCCCCAACAGGAGACGGGCCCCATCTTCCTCCAGTTTTTGGACGCCGTGTCCCAGATCATGTGGCAGTGCCCGACGGCCTGCGAGTTCACGGAGGAGTTCCTGGAAGTGTTGGCGGACGCGGAGCGGAGCCGGTGGTTCGCGAACTTCCTCCGCGACTCGGACCGCGACCGCGCGCGGGAGAACTCCGGGTCGCCGCGGGGCCCCGGCCGCACGCCCCGGGGCGCGGCGCGGCCGCGGCCGGAGGAAAACGACGAGGCCGTGTCCATCTGGCGCGTCTTCGCCTTCCAAAGGGACCGGTTCTCCAACGCGCTCTACGACCGCGACGGCGCGACGGCGCTGCGGCCCAACGCGTCGCTCCAGGCGCTGCGCCTCCGGCCGAGCTACCTCCACGCCGAGGACGTGTCGCCGGAGGTCGCCGCGCTCCGGGCGAGGATCCGCGCGCTCGAGGCGGAACGGGCGGGCGACGACGACGGCTTCCACGACTCGGACGCGGGCTTCCACGACGCGCGCGCGCCCCGGAGCCCCCAGCTCGAATAAGCGCCCTTAGCCGCGCCCCTTCTTGAACGCCTTGTGCTTCCGCTTGGCGCCCTGGGCGTGCTTCCGCGCGTTGCGCCGCGCCTGGTGCGCCTTCGCGGGCGCGGCGTCCTTCCGCGGCGCCGCTTCCGGCGCGAAGTCGTCGAGCTCCCTGAGCTCGGCGTCGAAGTCGTCCTGGGAGATCTTGCCCTTCTTCAGGCGCTTGTGGAGCCGCTCCTCGGCCGCGAGGTCGTCCCACTCGTCCATGATCTTCGCGTGCTGGCCCTTGCGCTTCCGCGGGCCGTCGTCGCGCTTCGCCGCGGGCTTCTTCGGGGGCGCGTCGCCGCCGGCGGCGGCCGCGCGCAGCTCCTCGCGCTTCTGTTTCCGCGTCTCCTGCTCGGCGGCGTAGCGCTTCTGCCGCGCGGCCTCGCGCTTCTCGTCCTTGAAGGGTATCGCGCCCGTGCGGACGTCGCTCCGTTCGAACGCCGTGAGCTTGCCCGCCTTGGCGAGCTTGCGGAGCTCGGGCATCTCCGGCAGCTTCAGGAGCGCGAAGAGGCGCGCGACGGAGCCGACGTCGACCTTCTCCCAGCGGAAGATGAAGGGCAGCCGGTGCTCGAGGTAGCTTCGGACCCAGCTCGTGAACGCCGTCGTTCCTTTTTCCAGTAACGCCCGGTCGTCGACGCAGGCCGCCTGGAGCGCGCCGTGGTAGACCGTCGCGGCTTCTTCCAAACCCTCCGGCGCCGCGACCTCGCCCGCGGGCGCGCCGCGGAGCTTGAGCAGCTCCGAGTACGAGTCCTCGTGCCTCTCGAGGAACAGGAGCGCCGCGCCCGGCCGCCCCGCGCGCGCCGTGCGGCCGACGCGGTGCACGAAGGTCTCGGGCTTCTGCGGCGCGTCCCACTGGACGACGAGTTCCACGTCCTCGACGTCCAACCCCCGCGCGGCGACGTCGGTG